GGGGGGGGGGGGGGGGGGGGGGGGGGGGGGGGGGGGGGGGGGGGGGGGGGGGGGGGGGGGGGGGGGGGTGGGGGGGGTGGGGGGGGGGGGGGGGGGGGGGGGGGGGGGGGGGGGGGGGGGCTACTTTGATAGTCAGGGTACATATCTTATAAGGATTATAAACAGATCAACTTGTTAAGAAATTATTTATTTTATTTTAGAGTAACAAATAAACAAATACGTCTATATATGTATATATAAAAAAAAAAGGTTTCGAGTTAAATTGGATCGGCTAACAGGTTTTCTCATCGAGAAATTTATTAACGTTAAATCATCATTAATAATTTTTTTTTTTCCTCCCTTTTTTCTTTTCCTGTTTTCTTCAAAAAAATCATTTGATGAATAAACAGAGTACATAAATGCAGGCTTCATGCGAATACGGAAGACTGATACCGGGTAAGATATATTTGGTAACCCTTCCTTTAGTGTATAACTTTCTATCTCGAGATATAATTTTCTGAAATTAACACTCCCAAAAGAAACAAAAAATGGAAACCCCTAAAAAGGACTACAAATTAAGAAAGTCATTCTATTTCGGAATACCCGTATCCTTCGAAAATATGTAATTAACTAGTTTTTCCGTGATTAGAGTTACGACTCGTTGAGTACCAACTTCCTTATTAGGAGACCGTTTTATTTGCCATTTAATTTGTATTTATAACTCCCTGACTGAACCCATAACATTGATGATTGGTATTCGTTAAGCAAATATGAATAACATGAATACTCTGATCGTTTCTATTATCTCGAAAGGTGTGCCATTTTTTCCATTTTTGGCCAATAATTTAAAATGCAGATCAAATTAGGTTTTTTTTTATCCTTAGATCCTCGCCCTTTGCGCGGGGGACATTTCCACTCCATCATGGCAAATAAAATCTAACAAGATGATCTTGTTATATTATTAATAGGCAAACTTTCTGGATGTATGCTGAAATCCATTAGATGCAAATATTTTTTTGGGAGTTGATATAATTATTTGATACCGTGAATGATAATATAATAATTATAATAATGCATGCAATTAATAGATTAAACTGATAATGCCATTATAAGTGGAATGAAAGGTTTAATAACAAAAATTTCTTATAAAAAAAAAAAATCAAAAAATATTTGACGTTTTATTTTAAGTAGATCACCCCTGTTTAATTGTTTAATCGAACTTTTACCGGCATTTCGGGTCACTTGCAGATCGATCGGATGTTTTAAATTCACCTACTGATTGGTTAAACAAATTTTTTGCTCCCAAACATCAGTTGACAGATTAGAATGATAATGTCAAGATTTTTTTTCAAAAGGTTGACTTTTTGATTGGTTAAACGAATGATTTTGAGTTACATGACACTCATATAAAGACTTCCCGTCAACTGCTTGTAGATTTGTAGTACAACTAAATTATTTTACAACAATCAAACTGCAAATAGATCCCTTTAAAAGGGAAAGAACTTCGTAAAAATCAATTTATAAACATTCTTATTTCAACAAAAAGAACAATTAGTTAAAAATAATTCTCACGAATATGGGAAATAAAAATTCTTCAACCAATTTTAAAACAAAACATAACACTCATTTAAATAAACCTGAAACCATTGATTCAATTGAAGGAGAGAAACCGAAATATTACCTACCAAATGATTCAAATGATATCGATGGACTTCATTTGATACATTTCTTGAAGAAACATTTATATCATAACAATTTCTCCGTTCCTATTGAAGAAAATCTAATTCAAGGAGGATATAAAGTATTGGACGTTGGGTAAGTGAAAAAGAAAACGTCAGGTGAGAAATTTTAAAAGAACATTGTTTTAAAATGGGATTTCTTTTTTTTTTTTTTTTAAAAAAAAAAAAAAAAAAGGTGCGGTCCTGGTACATGGTTATTGGATCTGTCGATGAAATATAAGGATTCTTATTTCTTTGGATTAGACATAATGCCGGTATTTCCAATTGAGGTAAATTAAATTATATATATTATTCAAGAAAAAAAAAAATTAATAATGGCAAAGAAGATTAATATGTTGTGATATTAAAATATTAATAGATAAAACCAAAGAATTTGGAATTTATTGAATCAGATATATTTAAAGGGTTGCCATTTCCCGATAACGTATTTGATTTTGTACATCAAAGTTCGATGTTATTTGCTGTAAGAACGGACCAATGGGATTATGTGATTTCTGAACTCATAAGAGTAACGAAGCCAGGTGGATTCATTGAACTCGTAGAATTTACCGGAAGCCAAAACAATGGTCCAGCCTTAACTAATCTATATGACATCTGTAAGTGTGTACTAACTTTCTTGATGTTAATTTTTTAATTTCATTTAATATTCATATACATTTAATTCACATTTAAAATTTTAGATCAAGATTCTTGTTCTCAACGAGGCGTAGACTTGTTGTTAACATGTAATCTCAATAATATAATTCAAGCAAATGGAAACATAACCAAAGTTCAAAATGATACAAGATCATTTTTAATTGGACCAAATGGTGGTAAGCTTGGCATGGTAATGCAAGATATCTTTTTGATGTATAATACTTCTGTAACGTCAATCGAACATTTAAGTTCGAAGCAAGGAATTTCTAAAGTAGTAGTTAAAAATATGCTAAATGATATAGTGAAAGAGTTAGAAGAAACAAAACCAGAGATTAATATTAGCAGATTTTGGACCCGAAAAAAGCCATAAAAGAAAATTTTTTTTTCTTCTCTCTCTCTTTTTTTTTATATATAAATATAAATATATAAATATATATATATCAAGATTTCAAATAAACGTTTTTTTTTCCTTTGTGCTATTGTGTCAACAAATGTCTCGCGCCATATTAATTTCCCAGTTTTCCAAAAGTAGCGATTGATTGACAAAACATTTATATAAATAATATATGAATACAAAAAATGAAGAACTGCATAGTTTCCCCTGATCGACGAGAAGAAAAATCTGGCAAATTTTCAATTATCAATAATAGCTTTCTGTTATTGTCTATTTGTTCCCAAATTATTATTATACATTCTGCTAATAATAACAATGTCTTCAAATAAGAACGATTATTTGGTATTTTAAGTTTTGCTGTTCCTTTGAAATAGAAATTTATGTAATTAATAAAGGTTTGTAAATAGCAGGTGATAAATCATTTATCTCCCGGGAGATTAGTAATACTAAATTTTTTTTAAAAAAAATAAGTATACACCACCAACGGGTTCATTTAAAGAACTAAATGCCTATTAAGAAAACGAAAGGAAGAATATATCTTGTGTATTGATATCTCACTTGATCATTATAGTTCCAAATCAACCGATTAAAATAATTGGTAAAATGCAATAACACGATGGATTCCAGTTTGAATGAAAACAACTTTTAATTCGTAATTTGAAAATTTGTAATATCCGCCAAAAAAATTACCATAAAATTTAACAAATGCAATAAACCTTTGTAGGTTGCCCCGACATAAGAATGGGCTTGTATCGAAATAATAGAACATCTCAAAATCTGATGTAAATGTTAATTTATTGAGTATTTCATTAGTGAAATAGGAGGTATTATTATTTAGGAAAACTTTTTTTTAAAAAAATATTAGATTTTTTTTTTGTTTCCATAGAATTGATTATATATTTTTAATAACACAATATATTTAAAATGCTTTGCTTTGTCAAGGTAAAAAATCGAGCGTTTTCCACATAAAAAAATAACTGTCTATCCAGTGGAGTGAAGATCAGGGTTGAATTTTTATCAACGAGCGTGAAAATAATGACAGACTCCCAAAAGGTGAAAAAGGCTCCTCTTGATGGAAGTCGCCAGAATGATACAATACTACTTTCAGTAGCGAGAAATGCAACAATAACTTCCTAACACAGGCTTACTTCTAGCAATCGAAGAAAAAAAGTGTACATATTACCTGACCGCCTTCACCATCTTTATTTCATCAAATGACCCGCGCCTATCTTAATGGGACCGGACAAAAAAGAAGTTTTAGTTAGGGAGAAGTATATGAAGAATTCCCACCAAATTTTGGAAAAGACCGGTAATATATCACGGAGTTTAGTATTAACTGGTGAAAGCATGTCATATCGTAATTTAATTTCAAAATAAATGAACTTTAAGTAAACTTAATAATTGATGCATTATTATACTAAGTTAAACTAGGATTATTGTTGATTAATAATTGTTACAACCTTATATTAAACTAATCAAAATAAATAAAGAAAGTCATAAATTTATTATTCTCTCATATATCGATTGGCCCTTTAATATTTTCGCTTCGAGTTGTTGAGTTGGTTCATACTCTGAGAGTCATCATTTGCATTGCGCCAGTTGATACAAATTTACATGTAAAATTAACAGATAATTACTTTCTTCTTAACGTTAAGAATTGAACCCACTGATGGTAAATAGCTTAGCATTTGTCATCCTTATATGGTGTTTGCTTGATAGAGATTGCTAAAGATGGTATATATAAAATACAAATAAATAACAATCTTGACACAAATAAGGTCGGTCAACAGTCGGTCAAAGGCCTAGAACCGACCGACCGGTTAACTGACCAATTTTAACTGACCGGTTGACCGACCGGTTAATAGTAATATAATTGAGTAGTTTTCGCTTAATAGAAGTTTTAATTTAGTAAAATATTATAATTTTGATTCTTGCTTAACAATTCTAGCATGGCATTTTTTAAAACTACTTTGTCATTTTATTTAGTAGCGCAGCATTATCGCGAACTTAAATTATTTTTTTTTTCAAAATTTCAAAATTTTTAATTTATATACTGTATAATGTAAAAATAGATGATTATTCAATCTCGGTCAAAGTCTTTGACCGACCGATATCGGTCACGGTTATGACCGGTTATGATCAGTGACCATTTAGCATCCCTATACGTGTGGAATACATAAATAATTTAATTGCCTAAAAGTTTACTAAGATTGATCGATCACCAACTTTATATGTACGTGAAATCTAATATTATGATTAAATTATTACGAAATCTCTGGGCTTATATAATATGATTATTTAAAGTGAATTGTACTTTACGTAACATACATTCTATTATAATGCATCTTCCGACTTTGTCTTTAACAAAACAGATGCGCATGAATAAATCAGAAAGATACAAATTTAAACGTATTAAGTTGTTTAAAATAAGAGGTGATACTCGAAAAATAATAAAGCGTCTTTCAAATAATTTTTAATTTGTACCTGATCACATTTATCACACCGTGTAGAGAACACCATGAGTTTAATTAATAATTAATTGACTTGTGAGATTAATTCAAGGTATCATTTTTTAATTATATAACATGGATCCATTTGTGCAATCATTTGTAATATAATCATTAAACGTATTAATTTATACCTCAACGCCTTAATTAGTCATGAAAATAATATATTTAATGTTAATGGTGCATTTAAATTTTTTATTATGAATCTTCTTAATACCAAACATATTTTAAAACAATCTTAAGTTTTGCTGTTTGATTGGATCAGCATTAGAAACATTTAGGGAATAAGGAAGAGCAAAGAAATAATATGACTTTTTTATTATTTGTTGTAATTATATTTCTAAAAAAAAATGAAACATTGAAAAATAAAATCATAGCAAAAAGAGTTTTCTTCTTATACTTCTAAACAAACTATATTCAAGTTGATCCTTTCCATTCTTTAGAAATTTCTATTTGAGAATTCAGTAGTTGGTTCTATTCTAAATTCTAATAAAATATAAGACGTATTATTTACGAAAGATAATTTTGTTATAAAGCAGATTTTTAACACTCATCCCACTCAATTAACGATATATAGAAAGATTGCTAGGAAAAATCAGGTTCTGAGAATTTTTATTGCATTTTAATTATTGATGCTATTAGATTAAATCTTATGATTATTAATTCACTTTTTTTTTAAATAAATTTTTTTTTTGGAATTTTCATATAAATTTTTAATACCTATTAAGCTAAGAGGTTATCTATCATCAACTTGCTAGCATTTGATTAATTTTCTTAATTAGTTTCTTAAAATGAGCATTTTAGGTAACTAGTGAATATTCTGAATGTAAAAAAAAATATATTTTTACGATTCATATTACTATTTTATAAATAAACTCATAGAGAATAAACTCAAAAAAAAAATTAAAACCTTGAATCGATAAACACTTTATAGATATTTTTTTTGAAAGTGTTAACAAATAAAACTATTTGATTGATTTAATATATTATTGCAATCTTTTTTAAAATCATAATCATCTATTATTTAAATTTCAGGTAATAATTTACCAAAAAATGACATGTAAAATTCTATGGGTCTTTATTTTCTACGCATCTGCATAAAATGTAGGGTGTGTTATATAATAGGTGACAAATAAAAATTTTCTATAAAAAAAATTCTAAGTCCCTAGAATAAACTGTAAAAATGAAACACATAGGAGTGTAATGCATTGTGATAAATAACCCCTAATTCTAATTCTAATTCTAATCCTAACCCTAACATAACCCTAACTCCGCTTTAACATATATAAATATAGGGGTACATTTTATGCAGGGTGCACAAAATACAATTTCTCAAATTTTATAATCTAAAATGATTTTAAATTAAGACTAATTAATGGGAATGGTACTTTAAAAAGTAAAAATTATAAAAAAAGAGGATATTAAATCATTTTACAATTTAAAAAACTGTTTTATAAAGTAATTTAACATATATATATATATTTATTTATTTAGACATCAATTAAATATGAGAAGCCTCAAGCATTATATCTACAAAAAGTAAGATAATATAACTGTAAATGTAATTATTATAAAATTAATTCAACAGATTTAAACCACCAAATTTAATCTATAATGAATTTGACTTTGTGCATTAAGTTTCAATTGTGTTATTTTACAAAGAAATCAATGGGAATTTACTTTATTGAATCGTATCTTATAACAAAATAAAAGGAAGAAAACCATTTTATTAAAAAAATCTCATTGTTGAGAATATTGCTCATATATGCTAACAACTCTCCCCAATTAATAATTGATGTGTTCTTTAGTCATATAAAATTGTATCTTAAACAAAATGTGAAGTAAAGTAATACATGATCTTGAGGTTTCATCGAGATGAAAGAGAGATTATTAGGACTCAAAGGTGGTAAAATTGGAATAGTGGGAGTTTTTAATAAAATCACGTTACGGATCATATGATTTACTATAGGCCTGTTCAATTCTGATCGTTACAGATTTTTGATCGGGTTTTGAGTTGATAATTATTGGCAGGCGAAACTGTGTAACTTGATCAGCAATTCAATCAGAAATCCCCAACTCAATTCTGAGCTTGATAACAGGCCTTATGTTTGTAACTCGATTTTAATAGCAAACCTCCCGGTTTTCGAGAAATTGGAAATGTCTTGTAATGACTGAACTTTTAAAGTTCTGAAATAGGAGTTTCCAAAAAGGTATTGATGGGAAATGGTCTTACGGAAAAATTAGAAGAAACCAGGCCTGAATTTTTAAGATTATGAACAGAAAAAAACAAATAAAATAATTGCTCATAAAAAAAATTTAGAAAATAAATATGTTTAATTACTATTTTAGTATTTGTAAGATAAAAATATATATATATATATTATTGAATATTAAATTTCGCATCGCATAAATTATTCATCATGGGTCAAGTTAAAATTATCATAATATTACACGAATTTATGCCTGGCTTCAAAATTTGGGCCTCTATATTTAACAATATATCTAATTTTACTGCATCTAATTAATATATTAAAAGCTCGTCTTGATTTCTATATAAAAATGATTTTCAGTGCATGACAATGAATTTTGAAAGTTATATAATAATGGTAATTAAATTAATATATAAAAAAAATTTGACCTTTAAAAGGTCAAACCTAATTGCCAATTTTAGGGTTTCCGATTGAAATAAAACAATAGAATATTCGAATAGCAAATTAGAATCATTTCTAATATAGAAAATAAGAACCAAAAAAAAAATCATTTTTTCCGGCAGTTTCCCCCTTTTCTGTTGCAAAGGTCCCATGTATGTAAATTGTCGAATTTTCGATATTCGATATTCGTTTAATTATATATTAATTTGATGGAGCATGCATCCCATTAAATATATAATATATAATTATTTGTGTTTCGTATATGGTTTATGAAAATTAAGTAAACAAAAAATTATCCAAAATCATCAATGACGGTCAGTCCAGATTTACGAAGTCGCCGCCCTTTGCAACGTTACCCAAAAGCTACAGTTTAAAACCTATCTTTATCTAATTCATTAGCTAATCAAATTTCCGCATACATGAATATTATACAACCTGATTAATTTACCAGAATATCAAATTTTGAATCTAGAACCTGAAGAAAATGTGCACAGACATAAAGAAAAAAAATAATTTTACTAATTCTCATGGATTATGTGAAAAACCGATAATTTAACCAATTTTAGTTACCTCTTCTCATTAGTTACTGTACGTTTTAAATTGTCACAAAAATCTATAACGGTTTGGATACTTCCCTTTGCGTTCTCATTGCTTTTAGGATTGATGCAAACCAATCGTAACGACATATATCAACAAAAATTTATTCGGACTTAACATAAATGGAAATTTAATTTAACCTCATTTCTTTATAAAATGTTCTCCAGCTTATTATTACTATGTATAAATAAATTCATTTCCATTCTCTTCATTCTTTTTGAGGGAAAAATTCGTCCTTACTTATAATTATGGGTATTAATACTTCACGTTTAAAGGGTAGAAAATTAATAATACAAAGCCTTCCAGAGAATGTGCAAACAAAATCCGACAAAGTGATACAGCCAAGCTGTTTCTTATCGAATGATGTTGAATACGTTGGAAATATACATGCATTTCATTTCATTAAAAAAAATTTGTTTCAAAGTAATTTTTCTTCACCAATTGAAGAAAGACTAATTCAAAGTGGATATAAAGTATTGGATGTTGGGTATGTGGAGGGATCGAATTAACAAATATCCTTTTTTTTTTTTTTTTTGACATAATAATTTTTACATTTTAAGATGCGGTTCTGGTACATGGTTATTAGATATGTCAACTAATTATGAAATGACTCGCTTTTTGGGACTTGATTTTCAATCAATATATCCACAAGAGGTAATATTATCATCTATAAATCTTCTATATAAATGTTAAAGGAATTAACATTTCAACATAATTT